AATTGGAAGAAGGGATTGTTATAATTTTATGTAAACTAGAACGAATTTTCCCACTGGTATTTTTTGATGTAATGGTTCATTTAGCTGTTCACCTACCTAAAGAAGTAAAACTTGAAGGTCCCGTTGCATTTAGATGGATGTATCCAATTGAAAGGTAATTAATAATATTTCATGCATATATACTTGTTTATTGAATTATTATTTTCAAAAACTTTTCATGTAATATTTGATGACAGAATATTAGGTCGATATAAGAGTTATGTTTAGAATAAAGCTCGACCTGAACGATCAAATGCTGAAGCATATATTGTTAACGAGTCTTTAAATTTTTGCTCGATGTATCTCAACAACATTGAAACAAGATTTAATCGACCTGAGCGCAATGACGATGGTGGGACTACATCGACTACATCTACAAGCTTGTCAGTCTTCTCTCAAAATACTAGGCTATTAGGTCATGCAGAACCAAAGTTACTTTCAAAACAAGAAATTGATAGAGCGCATTGGTATGTCCTAAATAATTGTGATGAAATTCGACAATATTTAGAGTAAGTTCTTAATCAAATGTTAAATTGTTTGCTATTAATTACTAATATGTTATAGTATTTAATTGCATGTTCTTTTTGTAATGAGCACATGGAGTTATTGCAACAACAAAATCATGACAATTTGGAAAAAAAAACTAGAAGAATTGTTTCCTGGATGGTTTACTTCACATGTAAGTTATAATACATATCTTATCTATTTATTAATGCAACATAACATTCGTATCAAAAGGTATATTTATTAATATGTTTTTATTACACAGATAACGAGATTATATAATAAAAAAGATTCGGTTGTAAGCAAAGAATTGTATGCATTAGCATGTAAACCAGATTTTAGAATATTTTCTTATTCTGGTTGTATTGCTAATGGGTAAGATTCCTTGTTAAAGATGTGGATGATTGCCGTACAACACAAAATAGTGGAGTAATGGTGTTGGGAGATGATAACATCAACTTTTTTGGTATACTGTGTGATGTTATTGAGTTGGTATACGTTTTTGACTACCACGTCACTTTGTTCCAGTGTAATTGGTACGATAATAATCTAATGCAAAAAAGAACAATCATAGATTACCATCTTACTTCTATCAATGTGAATCGTAAATGGTGCATGGATAATTCCGATATTCTTGGCATCCAAACACAACAAGTATTTTATATGGATGATCTTTTGTTGGGTCCACAGTGGAAGGTAGTGGAAAAGGTACAACATAGAGGCATATGGGACATTCCTGAAAAAAAATGATGGTAGTAGTGAGCAAGTAATATTTCAGGAAAATGAATCACCAAATATTGTCTTGCCAATACAGCAGGAAGATCTTGGCACTCAAGTATGCCATCGAGGAAATATTGATCTAGATATTATTGAAAATGAAGCATTACAAATAGATGTGGAAACAATAAATAAAAATATGAATAATGTTATATATGATACTTCGGAAGAAGAAGATGATACATTGAATTAGTATTACAGTGAAGATGAGAAATCTGTAGATGGTAAAGATGATGATGGTGATAGTGATATTGGTAAGTAAAACATTCTTTATATATATATATATATATATATATATATATATAGGCCTTTTTTTGGCATAATGTTTTTTTTTAATGACTATCTACATTTTTTCCTTCCCTTTGTAGATTCGAACACTGACGATGTATCATCTGAGAGTTGAAAATAATTTTTATTCACATTTAAGGTTAGAATAATCAGCTACTGAAATATATTGATTACTTATTGTGATGGTTGTTGATCTTGTTCTAATATTCAATGTAAGATATTTGAAATATTTTCTTGAAGCTAATATTTCATTAATTACTTTCTATATGTACCTGTTAGACTAAATTTGCGGAGCTTTTCTTTACAGGAGTTTTCATTTAACCAAAGAGAGTTGGAAGCGTATATTGAGTCAAGAATGTTATTTGGGAGTCACATGAGTTTTTTTTTTTTTAGTTATTTCTTCCACATTCCTAGTTCTATTTTTTAATTTTCAAGTTTGTCAAATCATTGAAAGTGGCTCGACCTTCAAATTACTAGTACTATAGTTTATTTGTATTTGTTTTGACTTTGGAGGTAACCAAGTTCGTAGATAATAACTTGATCTATATTTATTTGGTTGATAGTGATATGATTTTTTTTTATTTTTTTATATCAATTATATTTTAATAATTGTATGTTGAAGCGTGCTCTTCATAAAGTCACTAGTTATTTCCAGTTATGTTACATTTTCATATAAATGTGCACCACAATAACGATTCCATTGTGATGAAAGAAATCGAATATTGTGTGTTTAAAATAGAATCTCCGCGATACATAAATAAAAATAGAATCAATTAGGCGACATTTGTATATCGTTGAAGCGACAAACCCTTTGTGTTGCTGACTAAATTTAACTACGAGGACAACTTGACATATAAATAAAAGTTCATTGTTACAAAATACTTTGCGTAATAATATTATATGTCTTTATATAAAATATGTGATGTAAATAAATAATTACGAAATAAGTTTGGCAACAACTATACTCATTGTACAAATGATGGTGCAACAGACCATTTGTGTTGCAAAATAAATTTAAATACATACATCACTTGTTACATAAAATATTGTACTACAAATATTGAATATATTAAAATACATTTTGCGACATATCAAATACATTGTAAAACATATTTCACGACAAATATTACTTGTTATTGAAAATATATTACTGCGTGCAGGTGGTGTTGCGAAACAAAATAGGTAGCAAAAGTGACACATTTAAAAGAATATTTGCAACAAATATTTTTCTTGTAAAAACTTTATTGGAATAATCGTTGCAACGAACTATCATGTCGCCCTTTTATTTTTTCGCGACATATATGCATTGCGACATTATTATAATTAAAACTATCGTGTTTTTGTTTCATATTTTCTGCAGCAAATAAGTAATGTTGTGATTTTGTTAATGCGATGAATGATCGAAAGTTGTTGCAAAATATATTCGGTGACTCAACATTCGCAACAAACATAATTCTCGTAAAAACTTTATTGGAATATTCATTGCGACAAACTAACTTGTCGCCCTTTAATTTTTTTGTGACATATATACATTGCGACGACAATATGGCTACAAATATTGTAACGTCATTTCGTATTTTCTGCGTCACAAGTGTAGTGATTTTATTAATGCTATGAACTATCGAAAGGTGTCGCAGAACACATTGTGTGACTCATATAGAGCAACAAAACTTGCAACAAATGTATTATCGTTACTAAATTACTTTTGCGACAACATTTTTTTGTCGCGAAATCGGTTATCTGTTGTAGTGAATTCAGAATTGTACTTAATAACAGTTTTGAAGTCTTGCAAATGAAGGTGCATCCACTAATAGCGGGCTTTGGGAAGGACTATAGTTCTCTGATGATCAAATATTTCTGTTAATTTTTTTTAAATAACCTGTGGATCTTTCTCAGTAAGATATTCAATTTTCAGTCCATCGTTAAGATGATGACGAAGGAAGATGAGTGCTTTTGCACGATCACAGGGATTCTTTATTTCCTTCTTTTATTGTCTCCCTCAAACCTTTTGAGACAAGATAGATATTAGCATCAAGTACCCATGATAAATAATTTTTGCTGGAGATGTCAAGTGCAGTAAACTTAAGTTTTGTGATATTTGCCATTTGAGTAACTACACAATAAAGCAAGAGAAAATATAATTACTTTTGAAAAATATGATTAAACATCATAAAATAATTAATCAAGTAGTCAACATAACATAAGTTACGTATTTTTCTTCAGGGAAAAATACTAAAATAATATGTTATTGAAATCATGTGCTACTTCGGGAGTACGTTATATTTTACTTTTGTTTCTTCAAGAGAAATATGTCAATATTTTTATGGAATATTGAAAATTATAATTTATGCTCTTCAGGAGCAAGTAATATTTTTCTGAAATATTAATTATAATGTTGTGTTAATTCAGGAACAACAATATGATAAATTATTAATTTAAAATTTATATAAGAACACCTAAAAATATTTAACAAAATTAAAAATATTAATTACAATATGTAATGACTGCGACACAAATCCACACAGACATGACTTGTACGTAAAGTAAAAAAAAAATAATAATAATAATAATAAAATAAAAGTCCACTTGTATTAAAAAAAAAGGTAATCGTTAACAACCATTCTAACTTTGACTAAAGCCATGAAATTCTGTGTAAACTATTACATACTATTAATTTAGCAAACAATTAAAAAGGTAACAATTGCTTTGGATAAATTGGACGTGATTACATTATAAAGACAAATATGTCGAAATATGACTATGAATTGGCTGAAATTTCCTAAATTAATTTTTAACATCATAGATTGAATGTGAATTTAGACAGATTAAGACAGAAAGATCGAACATGCAAATTAACGTGCTATCTGCATATAAAAAAAATTCACATATTATCTAATTAATTTTGATACATGTGATAGAAGAAAAAATTACTATCTTCACAAAATTTTGAAGAATTATGCTTTTTGTGCTGATAACGTGTTGTAAAATGAAAAAAAGAAAAAAAACAGAGAGAAGTCAATAAATTTGTGTATTTTATTAAGAATCAAAACTCTATATTTATATGGCAGAATTAGAGATACAATAGTAATTATTTCTAGGGTTGAAGTGATATAATTGTCATTTACCTCTAAACCTTAATAATCTTTCATTTTACAATATTTATTAATTTTTCATTAGTCATTTCTTCCTTTGTTTTTTATGGACGAATTTCTATCCTTTCCTTTGTCATAGCTAATTTTATGTTATCCATTCAAGTATCTAAAACACCGCCCTTTTTATCGCCATCTCCCTCCTTCCATGACCACCCTCCGCCCTTCTTTCTCCGACAACATTCCTATAAATACCATATCACAATTCAAGAATGTTATTATTCTATTCCATCAAACCTAATGGGGTTCGAAAAAAGTTTTCTTCCGGCTTTGCCATTTTTCTTTCTATGTTCTTTGTTATTAAACAATGGAGTAGAAGCATCCCACAAAGTTTACGTGCATTTACAATCCATTTCTGCCGAAACCGTCAAGGACTTGCATAGAACTGGCTACCATTTTCAACCCACAAAGCATTGGATCAATGATCCAAATGGTCCAATGTATTTCAATGGAGTATATCATTTGTTCTATCAGTACAATCCTAAAGGTGCTGTGTGGGGTAATATTGTTTGGGCGCATTCCGTGTCTAAGGATTTGATCAACTGGGAAAGATTAGAGCCCGCAATTTTCCCATCAAAACCATTTGATAAATATGGGTGTTGGTCTGGATCAGCCACAGTCCTCCCTGGAAACAAGCCTGTGATTCTCTACAGTGGAATCATCGACGAAAATAAAACACAGGTTCAAAACTATGCAGTGCCTGAGAATATTTCTGATCCATATCTCGTGAAGTGGAACAAACCAGATAACAATCCATTGATCGTAGCTGATAAACACGTCAACAAAACTGCATTCCGAGACCCTACGACAGCATGGTTGGGCAAAGATGGTCAATGGAGAATCACTATTGGCAGTAGGAAGAAGGAAAAAGGGATTTCATTATTGTACAAGAGTAAAGATTTCATGAAATGGACTAAGGTGAAAAAGCCATTGCACTCTGTTCAAGGAACTGGAAATTGGGAATGTCCAGATTTTTTCCCCGTCTCAAAGCATGGTACGAAAGAGTTAGACACTTCTGTTATAGAAGGGGATATTAAGCATGTAATGAAGATTAGCCTCGATGCTACTCGATATGATTATTACACTTTAGGTACGTATGACACAGAAAAAGACAGGTACATTCCTGATAAAGACATGGTTGATGGATGGAAGGGCTTGAGGTATGATTATGGCAATTTTTACGCTTCCAAATCGTTCTTCGATCCTGCTAAGAATCGAAGAATCTTGTGGGGTTGGGCAAATGAATCCGATCCAGTTGACGATGATGCGAGAAAGGGATGGGCCGGAATCCAGCTTATTCCACGTACCATTGTGCTCGATCCCAATGGCAAGCAATTGTTACAATGGCCCGTTGAAGAATTGGAAACTCTTAGAGGAAAGAAGGTAGAATGGTCCGATAAGAAGCTCGAGAAGAATGATCGCATCCAAATTGAAGGAATATCAGCTGCTCAGGCTGATGTTGAGGTGACATTTACATTTAAAAGCTTGGACAAGGCGGAGCCATTTGATCCTAGCTGGGATAGATATGACGCCGAGAAGCTTTGCGGCCAGAAGGGATCGACCGTTCAAGGCGGGCTCGGACCATTTGGACTATTAACACTGGCTTCAGAAAATCTAGAAGAATACACTCCAGTCTTTTTCAGGATTTTCCAGGATAAAGAGGACAAATATGTAGTTCTCATGTGTTCTGATGCATCCAAGTCCTCGTTAGAGGACAAGGAAAATATGTATAAACCGTCTTTTGCAGGCTTTGTCGACGTCGACCTAACAGACAAGAAGCTTTCTCTAAGGAGTTTGATTGATCATTCCGTGGTGGAAAGTTTTGGTGCTAAAGGAAAAACATGCATTACATCTAGGGTTTATCCCACTATTGCAAAATACACTCATGCTCATTTATATGCATTCAACAATGGGACTGAGACTATTGAAATTGAGAGCTTGAATGCTTGGAGCATGAAAAATCCCCAGCTGATGAACCAGTGAGAGATGAGCTACAAAGGAGAAATTAAGAGAGAGAACCCATGATTTTTTTCTCAGCACAATTCTTTATTTTTTGTTTTTTAAATTGGATACACCTCTATTATTATTATTTCATTTTCCATTATAGTATAAATGCACCGATATTCTTTTCCTTTTTTTCGAAATCCTATCGAATATTTTTGAATTTTACCGCACAAAATGATATTGTTAAGCTACTGTTTCTTTTATTATGCTATCAGCCCCATCAAATCACCAAAATATCAGAGTCTTTGAAAGTAGTCCTATCAGTAGTTCAATCATATACCATTCGCAGCAAAATAAATAAATAAGTCTATTCAATACAATGTACTAATCATGGAGATAAAGATTTGTGCGGGTGTTAATGCCACGATGAACTGAATGTGTTTTTAATAAATTACAAGTCCATTATAAATTTCTAAAATTATTTTCTACTTGCCACTAAATGAGTTCATCTTCAAAGTATTTTTTCCTTCAAGTATATTTAAATTAATGTTTCTTGTACTTCATAATTAATTATTATTTTTGGAAAATCCCTTTATGTTGCTAATCATTATAGGAAAAAATATTATTAGATATTGAGTTACAAAAATCTTTAGAGTTCATTTTTAGTAAATGTGAATTGCAACGATAATGATACTGTTTCGTATTCTATAATGTAAATTCACTACTCCCCTAAACGTGACAAGGTTATTGATAAGATATATAAATATATAATGGTGTCTTGATTTCATTACCGTCATCTTTTAATTTAATAAATTGTTGATAAAATCATTAGTCCTCGTCGGCCAACCCAGTATGCGTAGTGTTGACTACTTATATTATAGCATAGAAATCATCCTCTAAACACGAGGTCGTTAGTGTTGGGTTGTGTAATCATGTAGTATATCTTGCTATGATAAAATAATAATTTAATAAATAAATTGTGATTTTATTTATTTTTTATATTTATTTATTGTTAAGCATACAAATTAAAATGCATATGATCACTTATGATAATATAAGTTGCTTATTCTGTTGAGAAGTATAATATGACACAATTATACTTTCATTATAAATAATTTGTTCACAATCAATGTATAAGAGTTGGTATCTTATATCGAAAAGTTGTAGTGTTGATCGATTCACTATTCATGTTTGTAATAGTCCTTATCACAAAAATAGTTAAATGTGATATTAGTATACTTGGAGTGTATTTAATGGATCACGAGTTGAGTTAATTCTATAGCATGATCTTGAGAAAAATTAAATTTTACTTGACCACTGTATTTTTCTTTTAAATCCTTTGACGAGATTATGCACATTTTTTCGTGATTTTAATGATTATTTGATTCATCAATTGGCGAGATCAATTGATTGGTCAAAGATCTCGATGAGTTTGAAATTTGAAAATGAGCAAAATAAAGAATAGAAATTCGTGTTGAGAACCTTCACCCTCGAAAATTGGGTAGAGTGACTAGTTAAATATTTTCTGATGAACGACTAAAATTTGAGCTCTGTGTTTAGTGACGATCGAACTTCGACAGTTGTAATTAGTTCACGAGACTGTTGAATACAATGATGCTTAAGTTAATGAGAATAATTAGAAGAATAAAACGGTTATTTATCCTCATACCCAATCATCCGATCTCGGATGAGAATAAAATACATATACGACATATCAGAGAAAATAATTGCAAATTATTAACTTCTATGATCTTATATATTGAAAGAGTTCAGTTTTTTGCCATTATTGAAAAAATAAAGACTAATAATTAAATTGGGTGGTTTAGGATCAATTAGACATGAGCTAATTATTGGATGTTGGATAATATATGTTAGATAAGACCCCTGTGATACCTCTATAAAGTATTGTAACTTAATTACGGTATTTATAATATTTTTGGCTTAATTGTGATTATAATAAAGTTTTTTATGTTTAATTGTAATTACTATGAAAATTGTAAACTTAGTTATAATTATATTTGAAGCTCTAAAACTATACGTGTAATTAAACGTAAACTAATTGGATTTGAACTTTAATTAAAACTCATATCTAAATGTGGAATTATTATTGTACAATGATTAAAACTATTATGTCTCTATAAATAGAGACTATATAGAAACTAGAAATCCTATAACAATTGTAATATGTAATTTCATGGTGTCCAAATTTGGAAAAAGAAAAATAGAGAAAATAATTATTTTCTTGTTTTATTCAATTTTCCAATCCAGTAAGTAGTTTCTTGCTTAAATTAAAAGAGGACACCATTGATGTAGTATTAACTTTGAAGAATACAATAGAAAACATGGAAGCTTGAAGTATCAAGTTCTTGAAATTCAAAGGCTGAAAGCTTGTGATTCAAAGGGCTGAAAGTTTGCAATTCAGAATTAATTCAAAAATTGATCATTGAAGTTAGGTAAAAAATTGAATCATTTACTCTTGATATAATATAAACGTGAACATTTAAACAATCTTGTTTATTGAATTAAACATTTTTTTTTAATTTTTGGATAATTCTATTCCTGCATTCTGGCAATTAGAAGGTGCATCACATCAACTATATGTGTAAAGGTGAACGTGATCCATGTTTAGCATGTCCCTAGTCTAGAAACAATTGGGGTGCGTTTGGTTTGCGTTTACATTTTCTGTTTTTCAGTTTTGAATTCATTTTTAGTTTTCTATTTTGAGGAACTATTTTCAAAATACAGAAAGCGTGTTTTGTTTGTCATTTTGAAAAACGGATTCTCAAAATAGAAAATTAGAAAATACGTTTAGTTTAACATTTTTAAAAATTGTTTTATGATATTTATTCAATTAATTTGATTATTTAGTAAATCATAATAAATTTATGCTAATATATTACCAGATAATATATATTTTAAATTTGGTGAATTTATTATTTTTTCTTGTTACAAAAATAAAATAATAAATTTGTAGACCAAAAATAGGAATCGTCGGAAAGAAAATAGCTAGTCCATCTAGGGATGGTAATTTGAATTGTCAAAATCGAAATTGCGATTAACTGAATCTAATGGGGCAAAAAAAAAAAAAAAATCGAACCGATGACGCAATGAGATGGATATAGTATTTGATTTTAATTTCTCGATTCGGATGGGACGAGTATAGTATTTACATCGTTGCCCCGCCCCAAACTGATTACCCGTTAAAAAAATAAATTAATTAGACAATTCAATTTTTCATTATTCTTTTTATGATTCTTTCTAGTGGAAATTACATGTCCTACCCCATTTTATTTACTAATTCAAATTTTACATTTTCACATTTTTTATCCTATAAATACTGTATTTTAATAAGTAAAAGTGAAATGTCATAGACAACTTTACTCATACAATCAATTAGTTAACTAGCTTGTATCAATCCTCCAAACACGCCAAATCAAATACACCAAATTTATCATCCAAAATTCCCAAATTAATGTGGAACCATCCAAACTTTCTCAAATCATAGTACCTCATCCGTTCAAAATCAAAACTATGATAACCCAAAAAATTTAGAATAATGCTATTTACAGTCGCTCACTGCGACAGTCGCCCTACGTGGTATATACATGGCAGGTGGTTATTTGATACATTAATGAATAAAAAAACTACCATATTAATACATCAAATAATCACCTGTCATGTGTATGTCACGTAGGGCGACTACGAATAGCATTACTCAAAAATTTATATACATCCCAAAGATTTCTCATCCTCTCATCTTAGTCCCTTTTACTCCAAATTTTGAGCATCAATCCCAATACGCTCTCTCTACAATTCAAAGATTTATAATATTCTTGAGTCAAATATAAAATTCGATAGGAGTCTTAAAATACTATGATTGACATGACAAAATATATTACATATAAGTTGTCGAAGTACCAAATGTAACATATTTTATATACAATATAATTTCACAAAACATGAAAAAAAATATAGTATGTAATCTACCATATACATCATTAATTTGACATAACATCATAACAAAATATGATTGATGGATGTAACAAAATGTTATATATGCAACCACTGATTATTCAAGATTCACATAAGAACATATCATGATTTGCAACATTCCATTTTTCATAATTTACATAACATTACTCCTTTAGACACTCCATAATAGCTATAGATTATACAATATGATACAAAAATAAGCATTATATTGTGCACATCACAATAGTATATTTAAAAATGTTAAGACATTGCAAGTTATATTATAGCAACACGATGTCTTAAAATATATTGCCTTACATTTCGAAATAATAATAATAATAATAATAATAATAATAATAATAATAATAATAATAATAATAATAATAATAATTGCCAAACATGAATTTTCATTAGTTAGTAATATGAAGTGATTAGAAATAGAAATTTCAAAAATAATAAAAAATGATTTTAGAATTATACCTCCAAATGCACACGGATGTTATTTAATAATCCAATTGTTTCTATAATAAATTCCTACATTTAGGAGCTATTTAATGACTTGGAGAGAAATATGTATCTTCGTTGCAATCGGTTTCCTATATTTATGTTAATTGGGTTATTTAGTAATTTTGAAATTTTATGTTACCAAGATATAGTATTTTAGGAATTAAAAAAGTGTACTAGTGATTTTGGAATTATCTTTCTACATTGGGTTATACGTCAAAATTTCCGCTCTTTCTAACCCAAAATTCCCAAAATTCTCGTCCATTACCGACATGTTAAGTCTAACTAACCTAACCTAGTAACTCTACACCCTACTACATAAATATCAAACATATATGAAATTTGTTTGTTAAATTCAGATTTTGCATTTGGAAATTGGGATATTGTTTGCTAAATTTGTTTAGTATTGTGTTATTGTTTTCATTAACTTCTTTTCATAAATTGTTTGTTTTTTTTTTCTTTTCAATTTTGACAGCTGGATTTATAAAAAATAATTTATTTTCGTAGTTATTAACCCTCCAAATCAAACCAACTTACGTGATTATGGTACGGTTATGGTATGATCAAAAAAATTTGTGGTTTGATGATAATTTTGCTCGAACCAACCCCGAACTGAACGTTGCTAGCCCTAAGTTTGTCCTCTATCCTTCTGGATGTATTTTATTGTCACTTAGATAGTAAAAAAAGAAACAATGTTTCTTTAGAATTTTTATCACCAAAAAGAAAAGCAATAATGGAAATTGAAAATTGTTTCTAGGGTTTTAAAATTATTATGCTTCACTAAATTGTATTAAATGACAACATTTTATTTTAAAAGTACTATTGGGCATCCTTTGGATTAAAAAAATAAAAAAAAATTAGCGTGTTTTGAATATTTTCCGCATTTTGAGTTTTATCACCGAAAACATTCAAAACAGAAAAAAAATTGTTTTGAGTTTTTAGTTATAAATTTTTTCTTGTTTTTGAAAATGCATTTTCGGAAACTATGGATTAAACACGTTTTGGATATTTTCGAAAACTAAAACTAGAAAACAGTTTGAAAACAAAAAACCACACACCCTTATTATTCTACGTGAATCACCGAGCTTGTGTAATGAGGACGACGCTTATCATTCCTCATCTTGTTGGAAATCTGAAATATCATTTGTGCAACTATGATAGTCTTATAAGCTACATGTAAAATTTTATTTGACATCTTGATTGACAACTCACACTGTCAACTTTACTTTTATCCATTTCAAAAACTATTGTTAAAATCAATTATCTGAATTTTGACAACACCAAAACTGTCAACCATAATTGTCAACAAGAATTGTGCAAATAAGTTAATTCCGCTCACAAATATACTGACCTATGGTTAGTGGGGTAAGGCCCATTTGACCCGTTTGTAGGGAATTTACTTAAACATGCACAGCGGAATTTAACAAATTTCAATTTCCATTCAGGATTCAACTTTGTATTTAGATAAAAACTATGATAATAAATATACCTTTACTTGTAATTTGCAAACTCCTTCGCGTTATTCCTTTCCAGCAGCTTGAATCTGCCTCCCACAACTGTCCAATTGTCCAGCCTCCAATGAAATCCACACAGAGAATAGACTGTAACTGCTAGGGTTTCTCTCTTGTGCCAGCAAAAATAATGAAAACCCTATGGACCTCAAATCCTAGCTGTGTATATATATAAACCCAAACGGACCCGGTCCGGTCCAATATTTAATTAATCCAATTAATTAAACGCGGTCTGTGAATTAATTAATCCAATTAATTAATTCGGGATTATAAATAACAAATTCAATTAATTAATTTATCCAACGATTGTTAAATTAACCAATTGACAATTTGCAATCTTCCAATTCTCTTTTGTGTGCGACCCATTAGGTTCCCGACCACGATACCTAACGTCGTAAAATATTATTTTGATCTAATCAAAATTGATAAATTAATACACCATTTTAATTTATCGTCAATTCACACTCGCCATCCCTGATTGACATCTAGCAATGTGTCAAGGCAATACATGTGACGAAAAATGTCACGTGGTATGACAAAACCAAATTCGTTCGTTTACTGAGAGACTATCATCCTTTCGTGAATATGATCCGATCAATTACGAGATATGAAATTGTATCAATCTCGATCATTGATCATATCTTTCACTCCACTATTAAGTCAATATAAATCGAAAACTCCTTTTCGACTTATGAGTACACCTTGGCCAAGGATTTCATCATCGACTTAATTGAATGAAACGCAAATCATAATCTCCTACTATCTAAGAGTGACGAATCCTTTATTGATGAATCACAACCTTCATACGATTCTTGACGTACCCGAACGATGTCGTATTAGCGGCCCCTTTCAGCAAATAGTTATCCATGTGAAATCTCTTAGCGGGTCTCCAATGTTTTGTTCTATAACAAAACATCCACGTGTTCATTTAAGTGTTACTACACTTTAACTCGTGAGATTAGCTACTTACTTCACAAGTAAGAAATGCCACACGTGATGGTCTAAATGTATTAACGATATCCGTATCTCGTTATTACTTACGACCATGATTTATTCAAGATCCAATTATATGTAATTTGTATCTCACAATCACAACTCCTTGTAATTAACAGATTACCTAAAAATTGGATCTTCGGATTCTATTATTTAATTTTATTTATTACAAAATTAATTTAAATAAATAATAGATCTCGCCAAAATTAAATGCATTAAATATATTAAAAGCGTTTACAACCTAAATCGATTGAATTTAGGGCATAACACTTACACCGTTTGCTAAAAAAATTTCAAAATATTGACAATCACTAGAAAAAAATGCACATAGGGTCGACAATTTGGCTCGTCGACTCCGGAAATCGAGCCAAGTCCGAGCTAGCTCGCGTAAAAAAAAGGGCAATTGTAGTTGCCTTTAAAATGGGCAGCGGCCTGCCTGTTAAGGCAGCTATGTACTGCCCCTGTGTTATATATATATAAAAACAAAACAAATCGAGTCGGCTTCGTTCAACTCGATTCGGCTCAGGTCGAGCGTTTGTTCGGCTCGGCTCAAGCAAAAAAAGCTCAACTTAATTTTACCAGAATCGAGCTCGAGCCTTGAATTTCGGCGCGAGCCCACTCAATTCGACTCGTTGACATCCCTAGATACACGTGACTATTGGATGGTTTGGTTAAATCCAAATTCGCAAACTTGGGGGCTTATAGGTTTAGAAACAAATGAATAAGGACTATTACTGTATTTTTCAAAGAATGGGACTTCCATCAGATATTTTCCTAAAGATATAAACAGCAATTTCCCCCTTCCAAAGCAACGGAAAAAACTCCAATCTCACACAATCACAGACAAACAAAAATTCTATCTGCAGCTCAGTTTGTATCAATCAAATGGCCACCTTCCTCAGTCGAGTACTTCTCTCTCTCTCTCTCTCTCTCTCTCTCTCTCTCTCTAGTATCTGTATTTTCTGCATCTAATTTTTCATTTCTGTATTCAGCATTCTTAGTTTTTACAGGATCTAATATTTTCATGAGTTTCATCCCCAGTACTTAAAGATCTGGATTATCTCAAGCTACCCATTTTGATTTGTCTATGAATTTTCCAATTTTAGGAAGGAAGCTTTTATTTGAATCCTTGTGCATGATTGGTATGTCATTGTTGCATTGTAAATTATTCTATGTGATTTGGATTGAGAAAGAATATTTTTTGATTAGTTTGGTTGGTGTTGATAATCTATGGTTGATTGAATTATGTAAATTTACGAAATACCACAAGCTATTGTTTTGGCTCTTTATTCATATCTAATATGGAATGTGCGTGTATGCCTAAAATCATGAACATTTATTGGAATCTAATTATGGCGTTGTCGATAATGAATTAAGAATGAATTCTTGGTTGATTTGTTTAATGGCTTTTGCACAACCTTCATACGATTCTTGACGTACCCGAACGATGTCGTATTGGCTGCCCCTTTCAGAGCAACATCCAACACCGCCAAAGTATGACTGTCCTCATATAAGGTACTATGACGACCTCAAGTCAAAGGACCAATTCCACTACCGAACGTTAGAGATTAGCCACTGACACTCAAATAGTTATCCATGTGAAATCTCTTAGCGGGTCTCCAATGTTTTGTTCTATAACAAAACATCCACGTGTTCATTTAAGTGTTACTACACTTTAACTCGTGAGATTAGCTACTTACTTCACAAGTAAGAAATGCCACACGTGATGGTCTAAATGTATTAACGATATCCGTATCTCGTTATTACTTACGACCATGATTTATTCAAGATCCAATTATATGTAATTTGTATCTCACAATCACAACTCCTTGTAATTAACAGATTACCTAAAAATTGGATCTTCGGATTCTATTATTTAATTTTATTTATTACAAAATTAATTTAAATAAATAATAGATCTCGCCAAAATTAAATGCATTAAATATATTAAAAGCGTTTACAACCTAAATCGATTGAATTTAGGGCATAACACTTACACCGTTTGCTAAAAAAATTTCAAAATATTGACAATCACTAGAAAAAAATGCACATAGGGTCGACAATTTGGCTCGTCGACTCCGGAAATCGAGCCAAGTCCGAGCTAGCTCGCGTAAAAAAAAGGGCAATTGTAGTTGCCTTTAAAATGGGCAGCGGCCTGCCTGTTAAGGCAGCTATGTACTGCCCCTGTGTTATATATATATAAAAACAAAACAAATCGAGTCGGCTTCGTTCAACTCGATTCGGCTCAGGTCGAGCGTTTGTTCGGCTCGGCTCAAGCAAAAAAAGCTCAACTTAATTTTACCAGAATCGAGCTCGAGCCTTGAATTTCGGCGCGAGCCCACTCAATTCGACTCGTTGACATCCCTAGATACACGTGACTATTGGATGGTTTGGTTAAATCCAAATTCGCAAACTTGGGGGCTTATAGGTTTAGAAACAAATGAATAAGGACTATTACTGTATTTTTCAAAGAATGGGACTTCCATCAGATATTTTCCTAAAGATATAAACAGCAATTTCCCCCTTCCAAAGCAACGGAAAAAACTCCAATCTCACACAATCACAGACAAACAAAAATTCTATCTGCAGCTCAGTTTGTATCAATCAAATGGCCACCTTCCTCAGTCGCGTACTTCTCTCTCTCTCTCTCTCTCTAGTATCTGTATTTTCTGCATCTAATTTTTCATTTCTGTATTCAGCATTCTTAGTTTTTACAGGATCTAATATTTTCATGAGTTTCATCCCCAGTACTTAAAGATCTGGATTATCTCAAGCTACCCATTTTGATTTGTCTATGAATTTTCCAATTTTAGGAAGGAAGCTTTTATTTGAATCCTTGTGCATGATTGGTATGTCATTGTTGCATTGTAAATTATTCTATGTGATTTGGATTGAGAAAGAATATTTTTTGATTAGTTTGGTTGGTGTTGATAATCTATGGTTGATTGAATTATGTAAATTTACGAAATACCACAAGCTATTGTTTTGGCTCTTTATTCATATCTAATATGGAATGTGCGTGTATGCCTAAAATCATGAACATTTATTGGAATCTAATTATGGCGTTGTCGATAATGAATTAAGAATGAATTCTTGGTTGATTTGTTTAATGGCTTTTGATAATCTATAGTTGATTTGATTATGTTGTTCAGGAGGTTTGCCCAACTATAAAGAACATACTATTATTGGATTCTGAAGGAAAGAGAGTTGCAGTCAAGTACTATTCGAATGACTGGCCAACAAACAGTGCGAAGCTAGCTTTTGAGAAGTCAGTCTTTACTAAAACTCAAAAGACAAATGCTCGAACTGAAGGTATACAGATGCTCGTCCCATCGTTATCTTGTCTTTCAAGTGTAAAATATCATGACTTGAATGTTCCGGATTTGATTATAGTACCAGATTGGAGCCGTGATTTTCTCGTTCGTACTACCCATGATAGCCCCATGATATTTACGATTTGTGCATGTCACTCTCTAATGTTCATGGCATATGTAATTGTACGTGCCAATTGGAATGTAAAATGTTTCTATTAATAATGATGAGTCTGATAAGAATAATGCATATTTGGGGCGGTAAGTTTTGTGGACTTATTGTAGGTAAGTCCAGATCACCATAAAGGACAAGTGTCCTTTTTAATCTCCATTGTAATTGGAACTTACCACAAGGTGAGGGAGAAATCTTTTCACTCATCTTGTAACAAGATGACTAAGTCAAACATTAAAATATGTGCAATGAAGGCACACACGAGGAAATGGAGGATGGGGAGTCTGGAGTCTCGGTGGTATGGGAAGGTGATTGAAACAACTCGTTTACAAAATAATATGCTAAAAATTAAAGAAAATCTTATATAGTAGTTGGTCTAATAAAGAAAAGGCACCCATGGAGTTGGAACTCAAAATGCGACAAGGCATTAGCAACAATCAAAAACATTAGTTTAATGTTTGCATTACCTATTGAGGCTACAACCTATGAGTGTGCAACTAGAATATGCCTTTTTCATCTAACTTTATGAATAATTTAAACTTTATTTTTATTATCTATTAGAAATCAAACTTTAATTTCAATCACAAAATCGAAAGTACTACTACTTATTTTCATACATTTCATGATCCTCAATTCCTCGTACAAAATCCCTAAAAAGTTACTGATAATCAATCCTAACAAAGAGGCTGCTATGTGATGGTGATCCACTTGTTAAGGAGCTTCCATGTGATGATAATTCGACTAATTGATTTTTTTATTTTTATTTTATAATTCATGTATATAGCTATTGCTTTCTAGTTCCTTTTCTGTTTAATTTTTTTTGGCTTTTATGAATTAATTTGGTTTGACTTCCAAGATTACCCATGTGATCTTCATTAAACTATATGTGTGTGTGTGTATATATATATATATATATATATATATAGTAAGATGTGGATACAAAATTTGTGATTAAAATTAAAATTTGATTTTTAAAGGTAAATTTTAAATTAATTTCTTTAGACTTATCTAACATAGGCGATATTTCAAATTAACATCGATTGAATTTTCTTTGCCAAATTAACAGAATATCTATGGGAAATGTTATTGGCATAATGTTTGTACAACTAGAAAATGAAATTGTTAAGTAAAAACACGTTCAATTATTAAAATTTAATTTAAGGGGGTGTTTGATAGGTATTTTTATGCAAAAATGTATTTTATAATAGTAAATTGATATGAAATGTGTGGTTGAGAATAAGAAAAAGTTTTTTAGTTACGTGTACTATTATTTTAATAAAGAATTTGTGATTGAAAAGAAAAGAGAGAGAAATGTATTTTGGAAAATAATGGGAATCAAATAAGCACTTAATCTTATTCCTCCTAGAATCTCCATCAGTAACTTTGGCTAATTTTAAATAGAGGACCACACTTTTTCTGTGTAATTTTGGTGATTCATTCCATCTGTCATAGTATCCTAATTCGAGACATTATATTTGCAGACAATATCTCAAGCTCTAGCCACAGCTCGTGAACACTTGACAAGATCGCTTCTCAGTTGAGGCATCTCTACTTGTAGTAAATGAGCAGAGCTTTCATTCTTCAATTCTATTCTTCTCTTTCGTCGTTTAAGTAGTTCTATGTCCCTTTATCTTTAAGAATTATAAAATATGAGAGGATCCCTCTCTTTGCCCTTTTGTGACTACTTTCCACGCTGTGTATTGGTTAACAATGCAAGATAGACCCCCCACGGGATTTTGGACAAATTTTATGTTTCTTTTTCTTATCAGCAGCTTGTTTCTGAGTTCCAATTACCTGAGAATGATTGAATCTGCTTAAAACTTAATTTGAAACGATTCTTGACAAAATAAGTAATTAAGTATGACTTACTTTAAGCAGTCTGAACATGCTTAAATATAAAATTCGATAGAAACTAACTAATTCTCTTTGAAAAGATTTTCCCATGGATGGAAACCATAATGGTATCTGATCTGGAAACATAAGAGTGCTTCAGGTAATATAAAAATTGTAGGCCAAGATTCTTTCTTCTATTTCAGTATTATCTTAACATTTTTTATTCATTTGAATTTTATATTTAGCTTGTTGAATAATTATATTCCTTTTCCAGGTAATCAACATATATTTTGGTTGCAGGCCAGTTTGTTGAATAATTATTTGTCGTTAATTGCCAAGTTGCTCTAATAATGAGTCACTTCACACGGATACAACACTTCAGTATTTGCGTGTAGTATAGCAACTTGGTATGTATTTCTTTTCAGTGTATGGAAGCACATCCCTGGTTTTCTCGGAGTACACATTCAAAATCCTTGTCAAAGTTCTCCCTCCAGCCCCGATTTACTGAATCAGCACCCGTCTAGTATCAATGGCTTGTATTTTTCAGTAACTTGCCCTCATTTCTTTCCAAAGATCTTTCAATCCACCAGAGTTAAGAAACTCTCTTCATATCATTCATGAAATCAAGCACTACAAGAAAGACGTCAAGGATCAAAACATGTGGAGGCGGGAGCGGTCTAAAGCAGGAGAGAAGAAAAAGATTGGGTTTACACTAAGAATTGACGCAAAGATCAAGTACTTGAAATGGAGAGTAACAAAGAAGAGTTCATCATTGGCTAAACATAATGTGATACCACGAATAGAAACATCAGAGTTCAACTAGCATCAATTTAAAAGTAAAATATAATTACAAGCGTACGGTATATGACATAATGCTCTTCATATAATTTCACAAGAATTGAGGTCTATGAAGATTAGATGATTATGTTTTTTACTTATATTATCATTCCGAAGGTAAGAAGTGTGCAAGTCATGCACTCGTTTGACAATCAAGTGGACGGTTTCCCAAACTATGTTAAGGACTAATTTGCTACAAACATGACACGTTGGAGACTATGTTAGCCAATAATTTACACTCGAAACCAAATTGCTATAACTTAAATATAATGCGGACATCCCTTGCAATTTTTTCAAAACGGTTACCATACGACGTCGTAGTGGGAATAGATTCGAAACAACGTCGTGTTTCGGTATTTACAAGCCATCTATATACACACGTGTCTAAATAGTTGTATGGCAAAAAGACTTGAGGGGCAAAAAGACTTGAGGGGGGTCGTCGACTGAATCAAAGAAAGCGCAGAGCCGAGGAGAGAGAGCCACAGATGATTTGATGCATTCAATTGTTCATTTCTCTCTCTCTAAATCTATAATTTTCAGCCTGATTTAATTTTTCTTTTGTAAAAGAACGAAAAAGGGGAGAAAAAACCCTTCAAATCTAGGGTTATTTTTTCTTGCTAAATTTGATGGAACCGCGCGTGGGGAACAAATTCCAGCTCGGCCGGAAAATTGGCAGTGGCTCGTTTGGAGAGATCTATCTGGGTCGGTCTTTCTTGTTGATTATGGTTTTGATTAATTTTTTTTTAATTATTATTATGGGTTTTTTAGTTTATTTTGCGTAATTTTATTAGTCTGTTTTGTATATTGCAGGTACTAATATCCAGACAAATGAGCAGGTTGCTATTAAACTGGTGAGCGAATTGAATTTTCTAATTGAAAAAAATAGAGGTTTATGAATTTTCTTTCCCATAAATTTGGGAATATTTTGTTTCTCCGACCTCTTTTACTATTTGTGCATTTATTTGAATCATGTACAGATATATAAATAAGAAATTAAGGATGATTACCTCTCATTTACATAATGTTTTTGTAGTCATGTAATGGTATTGGTGATTTTGGGTATGTTTTGTTTGATGGGTTTGATAGCGATTTTTATAATTTATACTAGCTAATAAATAGGCTGAAAAGAATGTTATATGGTGACGTTTAAGCTTTGTTTTGAAGTTTTGGTGGATAATAGCAAGCGCTGACAATTTCCCATATTTTATTGGACTAGTTATCACTACATTGCTACAACAGTCAATCACAGAGATGGGTTTATTTGGAGTTGAGATAGGAGAAGCCGTAAAGGAAGTTGTGTGTGTTTGAAAGCGAGAGAATAGTGTTGTATTTGTTATTGTCGTTTACTCATATTGTATTTGTAATTTAGGTGTCATATGAATGCTCCAATAAGGAAAGTGGAGGGAAGTTAGCTATTTTAACATTTTGTTTTGTTGTTTAGCAGGAAATTATTTCCTTTTCTTTCACCACTTTTCTGTGAAGCATTTCTCCACGTATCTCTCCTGCAATTCAAATGGATCTTTAGTGCATTAATTATAGTTATTTATGTCTTCTTAAGTAGGCGCCTTTGGATAATACCATCTTGCTGAGTTAAAATTGGAAAGAATGGTGGCATCCTGGGAGTTGAGATTTTGTTAGTATAAAGTTTTTCCCATGAATCACATTGAACTTTGTGTCTGACAAAATGTGGAATTTGGTCTCTGAAGTGTTTGAAATGACTTGTAACGGTTTGATTTCATTCAGTCAAATTATTACGATTAGCCAGCTCAAATAATGAAAATGGTACTGATTTATGAAAGCAAGACATTGACTTCCGATATGCTGAACTTGTGCCAGGCTCTTTGTTTTTGTGTGTGTGTGTGTGTGTGTGTGTTTTTTTTTTGGGTGGGGGTTTGCTGATCAGCTATTATTTTGCTTTTAACTGTCACTAATTGCTCTTTCTGTTTACATTCAGGAAAATGTCAAGACAAAGCATCCCCAGCTACTCTACGAGTCTAAGTTGTACAAATTACTACAAGGAGGAAGTAATGATCTGTTTCATTTCTCTAGTTCCTTCTCATTTTTTCATCTTACTACTTAATGGTTATTACTTTGATGTCCTTATTAATTGGCTATTTTTTCCCATTTTGGAAGCTGGAATTCCGAATGTTAGATGGTTCGGAGTTGAGGGAGACTATAATGTCCTTGTCATGGATTTATTGGGACCTAGTCTTGAAGATTTGTTCAGCTTCTGCAGTCGAAAACTGTCTCTGAAGACTGTTCTCATGCTTGCAGATCAGATGGTAGGGTATTTTGTTTGCTTTTCACTGGTTAAGAATTAATGACAGTTTCATTCTTCAATTTCTTTTCCTGACATTGATATTTTTATTCTCAGATTAACCGGGTTGAATTTGTTCATTCTAAATCTTTCCTGCATCGGGATATTAAGCCTGATAACTTTCTTATGGGCTTAGGAAGGCGTGCAAACCAGGTTTGGTTTAATTTTTCATCACTATCTATCTTAAGTATGATTTATTTGCTGTAACTCTTATCAATTATGTACAGGTATATGTTATTGATTTCGGGCTTGCAAAGAAGTATAGAGACTCCTCAACCCATCAGCACATTCCATATAGGTAATTTCTCTGGAATTTATATGAGTAGGTTTATTGCTCTTAATTCAAGAAATAAGAATGAAGGGCATCAAACAAAGATAGATGCTTGTGGGCTTCCTTCCCTAATAATATTGTTTCTCTCATCCTGAAGTGTAATATGGAAAGGAGATACTTGCCTTCTGTTTTTGCCACCTGGGGGTTCTGTGTGCACTACCTCATATTCAATAAATTTTATTGTGCAATATTCTATGTTTTTATATACTAAATTGACAAACTCAGCCCAGAAATATAACATTTCCTAATGCAGAGAAAATAAAAACTTGACTGGAACAGCTAGATATGCTAGCATGAATACTCACCTCGGCATTGGTAAGCTTGCAAGTTATATCAAATTGCTTTCTACTATGACATTCAATGACAGTTATCTAGATAAGCATTGATTTTATTTCTGTTTCTATTGTCCGGCCTTGACAGAACAAAGTCGGAGGGATGATTTAGAATCACTTGGATATGTTCTCATATACTTCTTGAGAGGAAGGTATTATCTCTATCAAACCCACCCCCACAGTGTTTTAATGATCTTCCCGCAATATATCCCACTTACTATCTCCAAAATATGTAGTCTCCCCTGGCAGGGGCTCAAAGCAGGAAATAAGAAACAAAAGTACGAAAAAATCAGTGAAAAGAAAGTTTCAACCTCTATTGAGGTATAGATGCTTCACCCTTCTTCTGGACCTTGGTGGCCTTTCTATGTTGGAGAACTGAATTTCATGCTTACGCTTTTACAGGCTTTATGTCGGGGCTATCCTACGGAGTTCGCGTCTTACTTCCATTACTGTCGATCGCTTAGGTTTGATGATAAACCGGACTATGCTTATCTGAAGAGAATTTTCCGTGACCTTTTTATTCGTGAAGGTTTTGTTATATTTTATCGGCGAGCATTACAATACTTATACCCTCTTATTTAAATGTTTTCTTTTTTATCATTTGTCATGCTTGTTTTGCCTCATCTTCTCCTCCCACCCTGCAGGTTTTCAATTTGACTATGTATTTGACTGGACTATTTTGAAGTATCAACAATCACAGCTTGCCACTCCTCCATCTCGTGCCCTTGTAAGTAACACCAATTTTACACACACCTGTTACCTATGAGATACAAATAGCATAATGATTTTTGGGACAGGGAGCAACTGTTGGAACAAGTTCAGGGATGCCTCGTGCCAATATTGATAGGCAATCAGGTTGGTCTTGTGCATTTATCTATTTTCTAATCTTAAATTCCAAGTGCAGTTCTTGGGTTTCTCTGTGCGTCTTGCCGTTCATTGTACCAATTAGCTATGTGCGATTGTTTACTTTCACTTCTACTTTTTCTCTGTAAATATAATTTTGCTGATAAAGCTGCTTGCTTCTCTGCCAATCCCACTACTAAGAATAATTTTATAACGTTTTGCAGGTGGTGAAGAAGGAAATGCAACTGGTCTGTCTTCTGCAAATGCTACTCATGGTAGAAACATTTTGAGTTCTGGAAGCTTATTGAAACAAAAAGGCCCAGTTGCAAATGACTCAGCCACGGGTAAAGACGTAAGATTGCTGTCACTCTCAAACCCCTCCTTTCTACCCGGTGTGCTCTTTGCTGTTCGGTATTGTGGTGGTAACGTGTAAAATTTTGCCTGGTGAGGCTAAATATAATTGCAGTCCCTTTTTCTGGTGGAGGATAAAATGGAACAGAATTATGCTAAGCAGAATATTTCGGATGTGTTGAAATCTTCGTTTCTCTTCTTTTGATGTTTTGTTTTGTCCCATTTTCCTCTTACCTCTGGTAATGCTCTCTGCAGTTACCGAGTTCTAGTATTTTCCGTTTAAGTGGATCTTCAAGGCGACCTGCTGTGTCCAGTAGCCGCGATCCAGTTAGTGATTATGATCCTTCACGGAGAGATGCAAGCCCAGGACTCCGCAAAATATCCAGTGCTGCTCAAAGAAGTTCACCAGTCGTATCATCAGATCACAAGCGCACTGCCTCTAATATAAAGAATTTTGATGCTACCCTCAAAGGTGTTGAGAGCTTGAACTTCAACGACGAGAGGGTGCATTATTAGGCTCATTCCCCCCCTACTGTAAATTTCGGAACGGTATACATTCTATTCCTGGAACACAGAGGATTGTGCAGTATGGAAAGCCGCTCGTTGGAATTTAAAACGAGTACAAGTCGGGAACTCTGCAAAAACCCCACACAGAGAGATCTTACTATCTATTATGTTTATGTTTTTTATACTATAAATACAGTTAAATTCCCCATTGAGGTATCTTAAATTTTCATGTAAGTTTGATTCATTGTACAATTTTGTGACGAGTTTGTGGTCTGGTTTAGTTTAGCAAAGGATTGATGTTACATGTTTGGCACGTATGAATTACAAACAACGTAAACAAAGTTTTATCCTTGGTAAATTCTAGTTCAATGGATATGAATTTTTTTTCTCCTCCGTTGTATATGATGAAAAATCTGAGGAGATTTAAGTCACCGTTTGATTTCGCTAAAAATCAGTTTTTTAGTAAATTTTTTTTAAATTGGTGCCATACAATGAATAGAAAAAACAAGTGAACACCTATCTCAAAACCTACGAGCACAACTTATTTACTTTTATTGTTGACTAAGCCCTTGTTTGAGCTTTCATAAGAATGAATTTTTGAGTAGTGTATTGATGAAAAATGTGTGTAAGAAATAAGGAAAAATTTTGAATTTGCTTGTATTAATATTTTGTTGAAAAATGTGTTTGAAATGATGTTAAAACACATAAGGCTCAAACAGGGACTAAATATACAAATAATGATTTTAAGATAAGAAATTGTGAAATTGTATATATACACATGTTTATATTTTTTTTTTCTATTTTTCTATTTCCTTTTTAATTCGAAATAAGATTATGAATTTAGAGATGAGAAACAATGTAATATTATTGTATACCAAATATATGGACATGGAATTGAAATAGACAAATTAATTTACTGCTGATATTTTCTTTTTATTTTTAATCGCAACTTGATTTTATGTTGACTGAAAAATGTTATGCCGTAACTAAATAAAATTGAACTAGACATGCAAGCATATCCAATCATATCAAGAAGCTTTATATAATTTGAAATAGAGAAATTAATTAAGTTGTCTATCTTAGTGCTTATATTTTCTTTTTCTTTTTTAATCGCAACTCTCATTTCATTTTGATTGAAAAATAATATGTTGTCTATCTCATCTATTATATATTAACATTTAATTAAATTATAATGACAATCATTTTATTGTATTTTTATTATTTAAAATCTATTCAAATTAAATGTCATGTAAATTAAATCACAAAATATCGAATGAAAACCTTTACATCTGAACAGTTATTTTGACAATATATAGTTTTTTCCTTAAATGTCAGCTAAAAATGACTCTAGACATGTTGCATAGAAATGTAATTCTTAAAGACATTTCCTATTTTAACTAATGTGACAATCCTTTTAATGCAAACGACATTAGCATTGAAGATGCAACTACGCTCTCTACTAATTGCTAACTAAAATTAGAACATAAATAAAGAAAACAAACAAGAGCGATAAATTAACTAATTAAAAACTAATATTTCACAGCTACAAAGATAATCATAGAAGGGTAGAATGCACAACTGTAATGAGCAATGGTTCTTAAAATCGTAGCAAAATAAGAAACCAACCCTCGAGTCTACAAAATGCTTAAGCCTATTGCCTTCTAACTAGAGCAAAATAGTTCCACCCGCGGAGAGTATCTCCATTCTCGACCGGGTTTATGTACACCGAGAATTTAGTATTTAATCAAAATTATAGGATGACTTTGCCAAGCGAACGGTTTCACCTCTTGAACCTAAAAATGCAAATAAATAAATAAATTTTAAAAAAAGGGTTATAAAGTTTTTAATTCTAGCTAAACATGCTCGAAATAATTTGATTTTTTTATAAATAAGATAGTGATGATAATGATTAGGATAACAAGAAAAGCAATAGCAGTACTCACATTTCTCAAATATCTCATTCGCAAGCAACAGTAATGAATCGGCATCTTCGGCCATTTTTGAAACCCTTTCAGCCTCTTTAACTGCTTCTGCTGCCACGAACGATTTATATTCTGCATCCACAATCTTGTAGGCAGCAGTCATAGCAGCACCTTCCGCTGTTTCAGCAGATATATCTTTTTGTTTTGGCATAGGTGTTTTCGTCCCCAAAGCAGCATCTTTGATCTTGTAGCGGTCCTGGACCTGCAGGTTATGGTATATATAAGACAGATTACCAAAGGTACCATATATTATGTCCTCTACTGATGCAGAAATAATGAGAACGGGACGAAGAGGGGGTCCGCCAGAATAAAATCAATGAAACCCATCCCCTCCACTGGAATAATGAATATAGGAAATGTCAACAGGCTCGTAATGTTCGCTTTCTCTGCACCTCAATAGCGAGCATGGATGGATTTCAGCTGAGTTGTCAAATGACGCACGTTTAGAAGGCTTAAGCATATATGAAGTGGTCCACAGCTGCAACATGCGCCGATGATGCATACCAACTAGCCAAACCCACCATCAAGGCTAACTTTAACCTCTTTCTGACAATGAATGGGTTGACAAAATCTCGACAGTCTACCTGGTAAAATGAACTAAACAAAAGCAATGCAAATGCCCAAACACAGACGTGTGAAATAAATTGGGGACTACCTGCCCCTCCATATACACAACCATGCTATAATTTAAAGAGAAACATTTTCAGTTTCATTTTATAAGCAGCACAACAAATGCATGCATAAACATTAAGTGCAGTGAGCCCAACTATAAAAACACAGGTATATGTTTCAAAGTATTAGACTGTTTTGAAACAGCCACACCAAATGATTTTATTGAAAGTAGTTAATTCAATAGTATGCTACAACAATCCAATCTGTTGGCACGTGGAGAAAACAAATAAATTGCAGCAATTTTTTTGTTCATGAAAATATTCAAAAGCAATAATAGATTCAGCCAACAAAAAAAATAAAATGCCAAGGCATTCAGTTACATGGTCAAACACAGAATAATATTTTGGTTCATATCATGGTGAATATTCAAGGGTAGCCCATATCTCCAACAGATTCATGCACTATCAAATCAGATAAAGTTGTAGTGCACGAAAGAATTTTATAATTTGAAACGCCAATTCAAGGTTTAGAATCATATACCTTCTCAAGTTTTCCTTGCAAGACAAGTCTCCTCAGCCTTGTACTCAGTATTCGTCTGATATTTTGTGGCACTTCATGCTTTTTCTGTTACACACAAGAGAGTCATACTAAATATTGAACTCATGTTCAATTACAGTTAAAAAATAAATAAATAAATAAACACACAAACGTATTAACTAGGCCAACTTCTGGCAGCCCTTCTCTGGGACCTGCTTGCATGGAAATTGTAAGTGGCAAGTGACCAATTTTCTTTTTGAATTTCACGAACCCAGGTCACTGACCTGGTGTGGTGGGTGACAAATTAAAATGGCATTGCTTACAAAAACTTCTCTTTTCCATGAAACGCAAAAAAATGTCAAATGTTATTCACATTTGACAAATAGTCTCACCAAGACAAGAGGAATCACATAAATAAATACATGGATTAATATTAAATTCTACAAACATTCTTTCCAAATTTCAGTTATAAAATACAATAAATCAACCTTTTACTTGCTTTTCAAATGACAAGGCACTTTAAATTCACGTAAACTGCAGAAGAATTTTCTTTGAATGGTATAGTGAGTTTCTATTTAATGAATTCCCCTTTTTCTTTATGGTACGTATTCCTTCATTAAATTTTATTCGCAATAAAATTAACAGAAAATAATAGATAAATTAGTGAAATGGAGCTGATTTCTTTAGTATAAAAGGTAACTCAATAAGTTCGTGGAAACATGTCTGGAATTTTCTCTTTGATTCATAGTAACTGAAACAGGAGGCAATATTACAAGCCTGGGATATAAACAGAAAACCACAACTCCATAAAAAAAGTTGAGTCTCCAAATATTTTGGCTTTTTAGATTACGCCGATTTTATGATTCAAGAGTCCCACTGACTGAATCCATCTATAAGACACCATTTTTTTTATACTGCAGACTCTTTTCATACCATGATACCAATGCTGCCTTGAACTTCTCACAAACAAATCATAAGCTTAGTTGACTTCATAAGCTCTTCCTCAAAAAGGTTAAAACTCTAGGTCTCATTTTCAAATGGATAAATCATGATAGGCTGATTAAACTGCGAAACACAATGATGCACAAGCTGTTTATCTCAGAAACTATTTTTTCATCACTTCATATAAATCTTTCTAAATAAAGCAAAATTTAGAAACTAGAGAACAGTAGAACATCCATCTGACCTCAATAAATCCCATGATATCATCAATATTGGATCCACTGGAGTCTCTGATGGATGATAGTGCTTCAAATATCATGGCTTTGTACCTAACAAACATCATGCATCCGTGAAAAAGAAATATATGACTATGCGACAATTTCTTAGCAAAACCAAAGATAGCTCTGCACTAATGAGAAAACAAAGAGACAGAAACCAGTAAATTGTATGTATAAGAATAAAAGAAGTTCAAGTTTTTCCAGAGTAAAGAAAAACTGGAGTAACACACAGTAAACCAGATATTAGCCTCCAGAAAACATAATTTCTTCCAACGTCTTCCTATATTCTTCCTTTCTGTTGACATAAGCATTGTAAGAAATCATTATAACATGTAAAAGGACAAAGCGATACCCTGGAGCATCTCTGACGTCCCGTGGGCTTCTGGAAATATCATCAACAGCATCAGCCTCAGCAACTAAGTTTCCTGTGGTGAGAGTGGAGAGAGCCGTGGGTGAAATTGTTTTTCCTCTAGAAGCCTTCGATTTTTTTCTGGAGCACTGTCCGTAGCTAATACACATGTTCCGCCATTTGTCCTGTGTGGATTAAACAAAATGAAGACAAGTAAATACCATGAGCAACAGGAAGTATAAAACATAAATACATGCGGCAAAAGGCCAGGTAAATTAAGGGAGGCCTATCCATTGCTTAAAACTAAAAAACACCATATATAATAGCATGCGTCATTGTTTTTTCTCTTTTAACAAATTTTAGATATTTCTCTGCCTCAGTTGCATATTGTAACCAAGATACATGTCTCCTTGAGTAGCATGATTATTTATCAATAGTTTGAATGGCATAATAAAGCTTCAGTAGAACTCAACAGTTACGCAATGCAGCACTATACTTCGATTCTGCCCTTCTAAAGGAACATCAGCTCTAACAAGTTCATTTATTTAAATTATACATGTGACTAGAAGTAATCCAGTCTAGTTAATTTTCCCAAGAGCCTATAGCATAGATACCTTTAATTTTCAGAAGTTCTCTTCACAGTTTCAGGGATCGCTATTGTTTGACCATGGTGGCACAAATGTCTCCTCAAGCAGAAGATCGGATTTGTAACAAGATACTTTACTTTTGACAAAGCTTATAAGTAAATCAAACATACTAGTGAGTGAATTTTTGTTTCCAAATATGTTTAGATAAGTACTTTTAATCTTCATAAGTATAAAAAGTAACTTATTTTAACCAAATAATTAAAATTATTTTTTAAGCTTATTTTAAACTTACAACGGGCCTTTTCCTAATTAAATTTGTTAAGCTTAGCTAACCTGCACTTTAAATTAAGCAGAAACGTGCCTCTCCATTCAAAAGCAAGCACGCATATAATAATATACACGCGTGATCAAGTAATAGTGATGTTTCAACTAAAACGTCCAAATAGATAAACTAACATGAAAATTTTGAAAATCAACAGACCGTAAAATAGAATAGAGAACTTGTGTGAATGGCATGCGGTATAGAAAAAGGAAACCTTAAGGTCAATATTAGAACGATTACTGAGGTAGGGAGCGAACTGAGGATCTCTGAGAATGTTCTTCCACTTGCCGAGGCCATGCTTCACCACTCCCGCTTTTAGGGCTTCCTCTTCCTCCGCCGTCCACTTCACTTTCTGATTCCCCATTTTACCCTTCCGGAATCACAAAAATTAACTACACCTCGCCGCCGTTAGCAGTCCGAAGGACTGATTGGAAATTTCGGTATGTACCGATGAAAAATCGATTAATCTTCTACGTTCGAATGCAAAAAATTGTTGACTAATGAGAGATTTTACAGAATTTAGAGAATGAAGTGTATGCGCGAAACTCTCGACGGGGGAAAATCTGCCGTTTCCTCTTTATCACTCCCGCTCGGTGGACCTTGATTTGGGCCTTTTTAAACTCTGTTTATTGAAAGTAGAAATTAACTGTTAGTCCCTAGTTTATTAACTTTATTGCAATTTAATCCATTAGGCAATTTTGTTTGTAACATCTTTCTCAACTTTTCAACTTGAAAGCATCTTCAAGAGATCCTTTAAATGAAATGTTTTCCATTTTAAATGGTCCATCTACTTTAAGAGACTTTTTAAATTAATATTTTTAATTTAGAAAGACTCTATATAATTTAAATGCATTCAAGCTATTTCAATTTTTAGTGTAGAAAAATAATAAGATAATCTTAAAAAAAAAAAATTAGTTAAAATAAAATATAGAAAAAAAATAATAAATATTTTTGAGAGTAATAAAATTAAGTATTAAATATAAAGAGTTTCTTAAAGTATTTCAAAATTTTAAATCTCTAAATTTGTAGATACTCTTCAAATGATAGAATGTAGTCTTTAAAATTAGAGAGTCTCTTAAATATACTTTAACATCGTTAATTCTTACCAAATGAATTAAAAATACCATTAGAGAGTCTCTTAAATATACTTTAACATCATTAATTCTTACCAAATGAATTAAAAATACCGCTTTATCTTATTGAAAAAAGACAACTTTTTAGAGAGCCAAGCATTGTGACTATGTAGTCCTAACGTGGTTCTTAATCAAAAGGGAAAAAATATAAAGAAATAAAAGAAATGCTTGCTTTTATCTAGAACGATAATTCATTGCTAGAATAAACTTGTACTTCTTTGAAGAACTTTTGCACTTGTGAACATGTGTAACCTCACAGGCTTTCACTAGTGATATTATAATAGAAGTGCCAACTCCGTCATCACCTCTTTATAAACCAAGGGGCTGTGCTTGCTACACAAGAGTGACAACCATCAAATTCTCTTTCGGGGGGGGGGGGGCCCGCCCCCCCCCCCCCCCCCCCCCCGCCGCCCCCCCCCCCCCCCCCACATGATCTCATGTGAGGGGACTATAAGCTTGTACGGTCCTAAGGGCTGTACAAGCAAAATAACCCTAAACCAAGATGTAAATGATGGCGAGAAACAAACAAATAAAGAAAAAGAACAGAAGAAAGAAAGACATGTCACTCGAAAGTCAGAGGAGCGCGAAGACTCTACATCTTCTTAAAAAAGGCAGTAGTGCCCTCTCTATATTGAACAATCCTTGACGACACAGACAAAGTTGATTCAAACGCTTTACTGGAAGAGAATGAATTGAAATTCTTTCTTCCATTTTTTTTTTTTTTTTTATGCATCGTTCCAATAGCAATGGACAATGAAATAAAATAAATACTTAGCTATGTTTCTGTTCGATAAGATTAGCAATAAAATAAAATAATCGCATGAAGATTTGGTGACTATCTTGATGGAATTTATGATGGTTTCCATGAGGTGAAGCTCATGTTTGTGTCTCATTATCTGAAAAGCTCATTTTCATCTACATGTACCCCTAATAAAATATATTGCATGTAAATTTATTTTTTATTTTTTTAACTTTTTAGTCACATGTTATTCAAAAATCCACCAATACAAAACTCATTTTCAATTTTAAAAAAAAAAAGTGCTCAAACATAGGTGAAGATTTTCATGGACGTTTTCGAGCCAGTTTGATTAGATGAATTTTCCACATTTTTACATGTTTGATTGACCACATTTTCTTGACAATTGATTTTTCACCTTCACCCTCACGTGACCAAGTTTTCCACCTTTTTGAGGAATTACAATTCTCATGGGTTTGGCAAGAAAATCGATTCTCCGGGCTTTTTTTTTTTTTTTTTTTTTGGCGCAATGAAAACAAATTCTATATACAATTGTAAAAAAATTCTATTCCTTTAATTGACAATTTTCATAGAAAACAAAATCAAACGAACGCCAAAAAATTCGAAATTTCAACAATTTTCAAGTGAAAAATTATACCAATCAATTAACAATTCTCAATAAAACAAATTCTAGATAATTTAATTTCCTGAACTTCATTTTCTTTCCATATAAATTTCATTCTTACAATCAAACGGACCCTTAGTAATTTTTATGTTAAAAACAGTTAATTAGGGAAATATGCCACTCCTCCATCTCGTGCCCTTGTAAGTAACATCAGTTTTACGCGCACCTTTTGATACATATGAGATACAAATAGCATAATGATTTTTGGGACAGGGAGCAACTGTTGGAACAAGTTCAGGGATGCCTCGTGCCAATATTGATAGGCAATCAGGTTGGTCTTGTGCATTTATCTATTTTCTAATCTTAAATTCCAAGTGCAGTTCTTGGGTTTCTCTGTGCGTCTTGCCGTTCATTGTACCAATTAGCTATGTGCGATTGTTTACTTTCACTTCTACTTTTTCTCTGTAAATATAATTTTGCTGATAAAGCTGCTTGCTTCTCTGCCAATCCCACTACTAAGAATAATTTTATAACGTTTTGCAGGTGGTGAAGAAGGAAATGCAACTGGTCTGTCTTCTGCAAATGCTACTCATGGTAGAAACATTTTGAGTTCTGGAAGCTTATTGAAACAAAAAGGCCCAGTTGCAAATGACTCAGCCACGGGTAAAGACGTAAGATTGCTGTCACTCTCAAACCCCTCCTTTCTACCCGGTGTGCTCTTTGCTGTTCGGTATTGTGGTGGTAACGTGTAAAATTTTGCCTGGTGAGGCTAAATATAATTGCAGTCCCTTTTTCTGGTGGAGGATAAAATGGAACAGAATTATGCTAAGCAGAATATTTCGGATGTGTTGAAATCTTCGTTTCTCTTCTTTTGATGTTTTGTTTTGTCCCATTTTCCTCTTACCTCTGGTAATGCTCTCTGCAGTTACCGAGTTCTAGTATTTTCCGTTTAAGTGGATCTTCAAGGCGACCTGCTGTGTCCAGTAGCCGCGATCCAGTTAGTGATTATGATCCTTCACGGAGAGATGCAAGCCCAGGACTCCGCAAAATATCCAGTGCTGCTCAAAGAAGTTCACCAGTCGTATCATCAGATCACAAGCGCACTGCCTCTAATATAAAGAATTTTGATGCTACCCTCAAAGGTGTTGAGAGCTTGAACTTCAACGACGAGAGGGTGCATTATTAGGCTCATTCCCCCCCTACTGTAAATTTCGGAACGGTATACATTCTATTCCTGGAACACAGAGGATTGTGCAGTATGGAAAGCCGCTCGTTGGAATTTAAAACGAGTACAAGTCGGGAACCCTGCAAAAACCACACACAGAGAGATCTTACTATCTATTATGTTTATGTTTTTTTTACTATAAATACAGTTTAATTTCTCATTGAGGTACCTTAAATTTTCATGTAAGTTTGATTCATTGTACAATTTTGTGACGAGTTTGTGGTCTGGTTTAGCTTAGCAAAGGATTGATGTTACAAGTTTGGCACGTATGAATTACAAACAACGTAAACAAAGTTTTATCCTTGGTAAATTCTAGTTCAATGGATATGAATTTTTTTCTCCTCCGTTGTATATGACGAAAAATCCAAGGAGATTTAAGTCACCGTTGTTTTGGCTAAAAATCAGTTTTTTAGTAAATTTCTTTAAATTGGTGCCATACAATGAATAGAAAAACAAGTGAACACCTATCTCAAAACCTACGAGCACAACTTATTTACTTTTATTGTTGACTAAGCCCTTGTTTGAGCTTTCATAAGAATGAATTTTTGAATAGTGTATTGATGAAAAATGTGTGTAAGAAATAAGGAAAAATTTTGAATTTGCTTGTATTAATATTTTGTTGAAAAATGTGTTTGAAATGATGTTAAAACACATAAGTCTCAAACAGGGACTAAATATACAAATAATGATTTTAAGATAAGAAATTGTGAAATTGTATATATACACATGTTTATATTTTTTTTTTCTATTTTTCTATTTCCTTTTTAATTCGAAATAAGATTATGAATTTAGAGATGAGAAACAATGTAACATTATTGTATACCAAATATATGGACATGGAATTGAAATAGACAAATTAATTTACTGCTGATATTTTCTTTTTATTTTTAATCGCAACTTGATTTCATGTTGACTGAAAAATGTTATGCCGTAACTAAATAAAATTGAACTAGACATGCAAGCATATCCAATCATATCAAGAAGCTTTATATAATTTGAAATAGAGAAATTAATTAAGTTGTCTATCTTAGTGCTTATATTTTCTTTTTCTTTTTTAATCGCAACTCTCATTTCATTTTGATTGAAAAATAATATGTTGTCTATCTCATCTATTATATATTAACATTTAATTAAATTATAATGACAATCATTTTATTGTATTTTTATTATTTAAAATCTATTCAAATTAAATGTCATGTAAATTAAATCACAAAATATCGAATGAAAACCTTTACATCTGAACAGTTATTTTGACAATATATAGTTTTTTCCTTAAATGTCAGCTAAAAATGACTCTAGACATGTTGCATAGAAATGTAATTCTTAAAGACATTTCCTATTTTAACTAATGTGACAATCCTTTTAATGCAAATGACATTAGCATTGAAGATGCTGCTACGCTCTATACTTATTGCTAACTAAAATTAGAACATAAATAAAGAAAACAAACAAGAGCGATAAATTAACTAATTAAAAACTAATATTTCACAGCTACAAAGATAATCATAGAAGGGTAGAATGCACAACTGTAATGAGCAATGGTTCTTAAAATCGTAGCAAAATAAGAAACCAACCCTCGAGTCTACAAAATGCTTAAGCCTATTGCCTTCTAACTAGAGCAAAATAGTTCCACCCGCGGAGAGTATCTCCATTCTCGACCGGGTTTATGTACACCGAGAATTTAGTAATTAATCAAAATTATAGGATGACTTTGCCAAGCGAACGGTTTCACCTCTCGAACCTAAAAATGCAAATAAAAATACAAAAATAAAAAATAAAAAAGAAGGGTTATAAAGTTTTTAATTCTAGCCAAACATGCTCGAAATAATTCGATTTTTTTATAAATAAGATAGTGATGATAATGATTAGGATAAAAAGAAAAGCAATAGCAGTACTCACATTTCTCAAATATCTCATTCGCAAGCAACAGTAATGAATCTGCATCTTCGGCCATTTTTGAGACCCTTTCAGCCTCTTTAACTGCTTCTGCTGCCACGAACGATTTATATTCTGCATCCACAATCTTGTAGGCAGCAGTCATAGCAGCATCTTCCGCTGTTTCAGCAGATATATCTTTTTGTTTTGGCATAGGTGTTTTCGTCCCCAAAGCAGCATCTTTGATCTTGTAGCGGTCCTGGACCTGCAGGTTATGGTATATATAAGACAGATTACCAAAGGTACCATATTTTATGTCCTCTACTGATGCAGAAATAATGAGAACGGGACGAAGAGGGGGTCCGCCAGAATAAAATCAATGAAACCCATCCCCTCCACCAGAATAATGAATATAGGAAATGTCAACAGGCTCGTAATGTTCGCTTTCTCTGCACCTCAATAGCGAGCATGGATGGATTTCAGCTGAGTTGTGAAATGACGCACGTTTAGAAGGCTTAAGCATATATGAAGTGGTCCACAGCTGCAACATGCGCCGATGATGGATACCAACTAGCCAAACCCACCATCAAGGCTAACTTTAACCTCTTTCTGACAATGAATGGGTTGACAAAATCTCGACAGTCTACCTGGTAAAATGAACTAAACAAAAGCAATGCAAATGCCCAAACACAGACGTGTGAAATAAATTGGGGACTACCTGCCCTTCATATACACAACCATGCTATAATTTAAAGAAAAACATTTTCAGTTTCATTTTAAAAGCAGCACAACAAATTCATGCATAAACATTAAGTGCAGTGAGCCCAACTATAAAAATACAGGTATATGTTTCCAAGTATAGACTGTTTTGAAACAGCCACACCAAATGATTTTATTGAAAGTAGTTAATTCAATAGTATGCTACAACAATCCAATCTGTTGGCGCGTAGAGAAAACAAATAGATTGCAGCATTTTTTTTGTTCGTGAAAAATATTCAAAAGCAATTATAGATTCAGCCAACAAAAAAAATAAAAAGCTAAGGCATTTAGTTACACGGTCAAACAGAGAATAATATTTTGGTTCATATCATGGTGAATATTCAAGGGTAGCCCACATCTCCAACAGATTCATGCACTATCAAATCAGATAAAGTTGTAGTGCACGAAAAAATTTTATGGCCCCTTTTGGTAGCCATTTTTTTTCAAAATGCATTTTTCTCTCTTCTTTTCAACCACACATTCTTTATTAAAATAATATTAGACGTAAATCAAAAAAATTTCCTTATTTCTTAACCACACATTTCACATCAGTTTACTATTCTAAAATGCATTTTTACATAAAAATACCTATCAAACACCTTCTATAATTTGAAACGCCAATTCAGGGTTGAGAATCATATACCTTCTCAAGTTTTCCTTGCAAGACAAGTCTCCTCAGCCTTGTACTCAGTATTCGTCTGATATTTTGTGGCACTTCATGCCTTTTCTGTTACACACAAGAGAGTCACACTAAATATTGAATTCATGTTCAATTACAGTTCAAAAAAAAAAAAAAAAGGAAGCACAAAGGTATTAACTAGGCCAACTTCTGGCAGCCCTTCTCTGCGACCTGCTTGCATGGAAATTGTAAGTGGCAAGTGACCAATTTTCTTTTTGAATTTCACGAACCCAGGTCACTGACCTGGTGTGGTGGGTGACAAATTAAACTGGCATTTCTTACAAGAACTTCTCTTTTCCATGAAACGCAAGAAATTGTCAAATGTTATTCACATTTGACAAATGGTCTCACTGAGACGAGAGGAATCACATAAATAAATACATGGATTGATATTAAATTCTACAAACATTCTTTTCAAATTTCAGTTATAAAATACAATAAATCAACCTTTTACTTGCTGTTCAAATGACAAGGCACTTTAAATTCACGTAAACTGCAGAAGAAATTTCTTTGACATGGTATAGTGAGTTTCTATTTGATGATTTCCCTTTTTTCTTTATGGTACGTATTCCTTCATTAAATTTTATTCGCAATAAAATTAACAGAAAATAATAGATAAATTAGTGAAATGGAGCTGATTTCTTTAGTATAAAAGGTAACTCAATAAGTTCGTGGAAATATGTCTGGAATTTTCTCTTTGATTCATAGTAACTGAAACAGGAGGCAATATTACAAGCCTAGGATATAAACACAAAACCACAACTCCATAAAAAAAAAGTTGAGTCTCCAAATATTTTGGCTTTTTAGATTACGCCGATTTTATGATTCAAGAGTCCCACTGATTGAATCCATCTATAAGACACCATTTTTTATACTGCAGACTCTTTTGATACCATGATACCAATGCTGCCTTGAACTTCTCACAAACAAATCATAAGCTTAGTTGACTTCATAAGCTCTTCCTCAAAAGGTTAAAACTCTAGGGCTCATTTTCAAATGGATCTCATGATAGGCTGATTAAACTGCGAAACACAATGATGCACAAGCTGTTTATCTCAGAAACTATTTTTTCATCACTTCATATGAATCCTTCTAAATAAAACAAAAATTAGAAACTAGAGAACAGTAGAACATCCATCTGACCTCAATAAATCCCATGATATCATCAATATTGGATCCATTGGAGTCTCTGATGGATGATAGTGCTTCAAATATCATGGCTTTGTACCTAATAAACATCATGCATCCGTGAAAAAGAAATATATGCCTATGAGACAATTTCTTAGCAAAACCAAAGATAGCTCCGCAATAATGAGAAAACACAGAGACAGAAACCAGTAAATTGTATGGATAAGAATAAAAGAAATTCAAGTTTTTCCAGAGTAAAGAAAAACTGGAGTTACACACAGTAAACCAGATATTAGCCTCCAGAAAACATAATTTCTTCCAACGTCTTCTTATATTCTTCCTTTCTGTTGACATAAGCATTGTAAGAAATCATTATAACATGTAAAAGGACAAAGCGATACCCTGGAGCATCTCTGACGTCCCATGGACTTCTGGAAATATCATCAACAGCGTCAGCCTCAGCAACTAAGTTTCCTGTGGTGAGAGTGGAGAGAGCCACGGGTGAAATTGTTTTTCCTCTAGAAGCCTTCGATTTTTTTCTGGAGCACTGTCCATGGCTAATACACATGTTCCGCCATTTGTCCTGTGTGGATGAAACAAAATGAAGACAAGTAAATACCATGAGCAACAGGAAGTATAAAACATAAATACATGCGGCAAAAGGCCAGGTAAATTAAGGGAGGCCTATCCATTGCTTAAAACTAAAAAACACCATATATAATAGCAAGCGTCATTTTTTTTTCTCTTTTAACAAATTTTAGATATTTCTCTGCCTCAGTTGCATATTGTAACCAAGATACATGTCTCCTTGAGTAGCATGATTATTTATCAATAGTTTGAATGGCATAATAAAGCTTCAGTAGAACTCAACAGTTACGCAGTGCAGCACTATACTTCGATTCTGCCCTTCTAAAGGAACATCAGCTCTAACAATTTCATTTATTTAATTATACATTTGACTAGAAGTAATCCTGTCTAGTTAATTTTCCTAAGAGGATACAAGAGCCTATAGCATAGATACCTTTAATTTTCAAAAGTTCTCTTCACGGTTTCAGGGATCGCTATTGTTTGACCATGGTGGCACAAATGTCTCCTCAAGCAGAAGATCGGATTTGTAACAAGATACTTTACTTTTGACAAAGCTTATAAGTACGTCAAACACACTAGTGAGTGAATTTTTGTTTCCAAATATGTTTAGATAAGTACTTTTAATCTTCATGAGAATAAAAAGTAACTTATTTTAACGAAATAATTAAAGTATTTTTTAAGCTTATTTTAAAACTTACAACAGGCCTTTTCCTAATTAAATTTGTTAAGCTTAGCTATACCTGCACTTTAAATTAAGCAGAAACGTGCCTCTCCATTCAAAAGCAAGCACGCATATAATATACACGCGTGATCAAGTAATAGCGATGTTTCAACTAAAATGTCCAGATAGATAAACTAAAATGAAAATTTTGAAAATCAACAGACCGTAAAATAGAATAGAGAAATTGTGTGAATGGCATGCGGTATAGAAAAAGGAAACCTTAAGGTCAATATTAGAACGATTACTGAGGTAGGGAGCGAACTGAGGATCTCTGAGAATGTTCTTCCACTTGCCGAGGCCGTGCTTCACCACTCCCGCTTTTAGGGCTTCCTCTTCCTCCGCCGTCCACTTCACTTTCTGATTCCCCATTTTACCCTTCCGGAATCACAAAAAATTAACTACACCTCGCCGCGGTTAGCAGTCCGAAGGACTGATTGGAAATTTCGGTATGTACCGTTGAAAAATCGATTAATCTTCTACGTTCGAATGCAAAAAATTGTCGACTATTGAGAGATTTTACAGAATTTAGAGAATGAAGTGTATGCGCGAAACTCTCGAGGGGTGGAAATCTGCCGTTTCCTCTTTATCGCTCCCGCTCGGTGGACCTTGATTTGGGCCTTTTTAAACTCTGTTTATTGAAAGTAGAAATTAACTGTTAGTCCCTAGTTTATTAACTTTATTGCAATTTAATCCATTAGGCAATTTTGTTTGTAACATCTTTCTCAACTTTTCAACTTGAGAGCATCTTCAAGAGATTTTTTAAAGAATGAAATGTTTTCTATTTTAAATAGTCCATCTGCTCTAAGGGTTCGTTTGATTGCAAAGATATAATTAAATTGAATTGAAAACGAATTCTAGATAATTGAATTGCTTAGAAATTGTTTTCCTGGGAATTGTAAATTATTGTGTTTAATTGATATAATTTTTCACGTGAAAAATATTAAAATAAAAGTATTTTTTTGATGTTCATTTGACTTTATTTTATATGAAAATTGTCAATTAAAAGGATAGATTTTATTAGTATTGACTATTGGGAATAAAATTTGTTTCCATTACCAACAAAAAAATAAAAAAATCAAGAAAATTATCTATTTTTTGGTGTTCGTTTGATGTTGTTTTACTTGGAAATTGTTAATTTAAGGAATATCCTCTTTTACAATTGTTCCTAGAATTTGTTTCAATTACAAATAATAATAATAAACAAAACAGAAAAAAAGGGAAAAAGCTAGAATTGCAATTCCCACCATTTTGGTGGGAATTGCTTTTTATCAAAAAGTAAAAAAATGCTTATGTGGCATGGGTTTATGAAAAATATTTTTCATGGAAAATTTCTGCCATCAAACATGTCAAAAAATGAGAAATGAAATTTAATTTTCATTTGCCATGAAAAATAGAGGCATATCAAACATGGCGTAAGAGATTTTTTAAATTAATATTTTTAATTTAGAAAGACTATATATTTTAAATGCATTTAAGCTATTTCAATTTTTAATGTAGAAAAATAATAAGATAATCTAAAAAAATTAGTTAAAATAAAATATAGAAAAAATAATAAATATTTTTGGGAGTAATAAAATTAAGTATTAAATATAAAGAGTTTGTTAAAGTACTTCAAAATTTTAAATCTCTAAATTTGTAGATACTCTCCAAATGATAGAATGTGGTCTTTAAAATTAGATAGTCTCTTAAAGATACTTTAACATCGTTAATTCTTACCAAATGAATTAAAAATACCGCTTTTTCTTATTGAAAAAATACAACTATTTAGAGAGCCAAGCATTGGGACTATGTAGTCCTATATATGACTATGTAGTCCTAACGTGGTTCTTAATCAAAAGGGGAAAAATATAAAGAAATAAAAGAAATGCTTGCTTTTATCTAGAACGATAAATCATTGCTAGATTAAACTTGCACTTCTTTGAAGAAGTTTTGCACTTGTGAACATATGCAACCTCACATGCTTTCACTAGTGATATTATAATAGAAGTGCCAACTCCATCATCACCTCTTTATAAACCAAGGTGTTGTGCTTGCTACACGAGAGTGACAACCATCCCCCCCCCCCCACATGATCTCATGTGAGGGGACTGTAAGCTTGTAGATTCCTAGGGGCTGTACAAGCAAAATAACCCTAAACGAAGATGTAAATGATGGCGAGAAACAAAAAAATAAAGAAAAAGAACAGAAGAAAGAAAGACATGTCACTCGAAAGTCAGAGGAGCGCGATGACTCTACATCTCCTTAAAAAAGGCAGTAGTGCCCTCTCTATATTGAACAATCCTTGACGACACAGACAGAGTTGATACGAAGAGAATGAATTGAAATTCTTTCTTCCATTTTATTTTTTATGCATCGCTCCGATAGCAATGAACGATAAAATAAAATAAATACTTAGCTATGTTTCTGTTCGATAAGATTAGCAATAAAATAAAATAATCGCGTGAAGATTTGGTGACTATCTTGATGGAATTTATGATGGTTTCTACGAGGTAAAGCTCATGTTTGTGTCTCATTATCTGAAAAGCTCATTTTCATCTACATGTACCCCTAGTAAAATATATTGCATTTAAATTTATTTATTTATTTTTTAAACTTTTTAGTTACATATTATTCAAAAATTCACCAATACCAAACTCATTTTCAATTATAGAAAAAAAAAAAAAAAAAAAAAAAAAAGGGTGCTCAAACATAGGCGAAGATTTTCATGGACGTTTTCGGGCCAGTTTGATTAGATGAATTTTTCACATTTTTACATGTTTGATTGGCCAAATTTTCTTGACAATTGGTTTTTCACCTTCACTCTCACATGACCACGTTTTCCACCTTTTTGAGGAATTGCAATTCTCATGGATTTGGCAAGAAAATGGGTTCTCCAGGCTTTTTTTTTTTCATTTTTTTTTTTGTGCAATGAAAACAAATTCTATATACAATTGTAAAAAAATTCTATCCCTTTAATTGATAATTTTCATAGAAAACAAAATCAAACAAACGCCAAAAAATTCGAAATTTCAACATTTTTCAAGTGAAAAATTATACCAATCAATTAACAATTCTCAATAAAACAAATTCTAGACAATTTAATTTCTTGAAATTCATTTTCTTTCTATTTAAATTTCATTCTTACAATCAAACGGACCCTTCGTGATTTTTATGTTAAAAACAGTTAATTAGGGAAATCTAGTGCTTAAGCTGGCGAAGTTCAATGATAAATTTCATTAGTATATTTCACCAAGTTCAATCAAGTAACTCAGCAAGCATACATTTATGATTTCAATTAAGAAAACTGTTCCATTTCAACGATAATCGAAATGTCACACTCAATAAATGATAATTATCACACGTAATCATTAGCTGCTAACAAGAAATATGTACAACCATGCTGATATGAATGGTGAGCATCATGGACTATTAAGTCATCAAATCTCGAATATTCAAGTGAGGGAACCAAACAAAATCATCCAATTAAAATTAAATTTAACATAATTACTTAATTGAAGAAAATTGAAATACAATTGCGTAATTAATTAGAGTAGAGCGTAAGTATAATTACCGCAATTGATATTTATCCCAAAGTTTAGAGATTGTAACAGCGAATTTCCGCAATTGATATTCTTGCACCACAAATTTGAAAATATACATATTGAACCAAAAGACATTTTTATTTCTCTTCTATTTTCAACACATTGATTTTTGATTTAAAATTTAATGCATGAATTTCAATAAATTAATCTAAAACTCAAAAAGATAAAGCCTTTCATCCCTACAACAACATTTTGGTTGAAACAAGCCAACGAATTACTGTTATAGATAATTATAATCCGCCTAGTTCATAAGTCACGAGGGAAAGGAAATGCGAAGAAACAAGTTATCCATTGCAACGTGCGTCTACAAAAAACATGGATTCATCATTCATCAAACCGTTAAACTAGTACGAGCTTATACAACTATCGGGTAACACCCAGCTAAGAATAATTCTAATAATTATCACACCATCTCCTTACAACCTCGGTTTTCAAGTCTTCACTCACTATATTTTCATGCATAAAAATAATGTCTTAACACTATATATGAAAGCATATATAAAAGTTGAAAACTCCAAATATTAGTTGGTTGATGAACCCACAAACTTCCGAAGGGCACAAACATAAGGAAAACAATGATAATAGAAAAAAAAATCCTGCCATGATAAGTTGAAGCAAAATAAAAACCAATTTGGAATTTACCAACCAAAGGATTTAAATTAAACATGCATTGAGTAGTTTCAATAGGAACTATTCAAAAAGTAGTAAGAGTAAAAATACATAAAAATTCATACACGTTAGAGATCATAGAATACCCACAATGAAGGTTTTTTTTTTCGAATTTTATTCACGAATCCTCGTCTTCTACAAACTATGTAAACATTAAAGCTTACATTTTTTTATGAAATGACAATGTAGGTAAGACTATGAATATATTCACCATTATAGCACTAATATTAAGCAGGAACCTGCACAAACATACTATAACTCAATTTCAGTACCATAATTCCTCAAAAAGTCATCAAAATTTGCATTTTCCAGCTTCAAATAGAAAGATTCTTGATATTATTGTAACTTATAAGATCATAAACCCGATAGAATGAACACGAAGAAGTAAATATTCAGATGGGCACATATCTTTTCAAGGCCTGTTTCCCCGCAACAGCAAGCCCAACAAGCACACCGCCAATTGCCCCAGCCACTGCAGCGGACCGGGGCCCAGCCGCCGCCTTGTAGAGGGCTCCAGTGCCGAGTCCAGCCACAACACTGTTGATGACATCATCACTGTCCCTGTAAGCCACCATGCCACTCTCGAGTCCAGCATAGAGGAGCCCGATGATCCCGCATCTGTTTCCGATCTGTCGGCCAGCCTGGCCCGACCCGTTGAGGATCCGGTTGATCTTCAGCTTGAGCGTGTCAGTGGGTTCAATTGACTTGACCCCTGAGACGAACCCCTTTGCGGCGCCGGCAGATGAGCCGGCGAGATAGCCGATTCCGGTGTAGTAGGTGAGATTCTCGCCCCAAGACCTGCGCTGAGCGTGGGATTCTTCCGGGAAAAGGTACTCCGGCGAGGTGGGCAGCTTGTATAGGGTTTGTATCGGTACCTGCAAATCTTGGTACGGGTTGTAGAGTCGACGATTTGATTCGCTATCATCGTGCGAGGTGTTATGTTTTGGAGCTCCAGATTGGTATGCCATTACTGGTTTTGGGTTTGGGTGGTCCAGTGATCCGATTGGAGGTCCGGGATCGTGGCGTCGGGGGAGGACGAGAGTTGTGTGTATTAGGTTTTTGTTCTTCTTATTGGACTTTAAAGCGGCGACTTTTTGAGGGAGAAAAATAAAAATCGGACGGGTTAGATACGATCGGTTCAGTTAGATAATTAAACGGACCGGTTCAACGAGAATGCGCGCAATTGGATTAAACTCTCGAATCAGATCCGAATCGAAGTTAAATACTCAATGGGTAAATGAATAAAGGACCAACGAACCCGTTTGTTCTCGATTCAAGATCAAGAATCGAAAAATCGTATAGAAATCGAATATTTCTATTTTTTAAATTTATTTATTTTAAATAAGTTAAGTTATTTTATTTTTTTCTAAATAAATTTGTTAACTAGTTAATCTAACTCAAATTCAAAAATATGATTTTTCTATTCCTAATTTTTAGTCTAAGCTCAATTTAATCTAATTGATTTAAGTTTCATCTAAATTTGTTGTTCTACCGTAGTGCCGTTCCTGCCGTTTTGAAGAAATTGAATTGAAGCTTGAAAGTACCTCTCTTACTTATTGTGAGCTCGCTATTTTTTTTCTTCCTGTAATTTTAACCATCAAAACTATTAAGAACTCTACGAAGAAGGACGCAAAAAACAAATTAGATTGGTTTGCATTATTTTTTTTAAGTTAAATGTCATTAGTAAAATTAATGTAGTTTTGTAAATGTTAAAAAAAATTAGTTATAGTATAAAACCTGAAAATCGAATGGAATCAAACTGAACCGAATAAAATCGAACACGATGCTACCAAAAATCGTACCTAATGATTTCCCGAGCTTGGCTATCCTCAATTAGCACGATCGTAGTCTTCCGATACTTGAAAATAGGGCAACGAGGTATGTTCTCATCGCCCCTCCGATTCTTCAATTAGAAAGGGAATTATATGCGTGAGATTATAAACTGGAAATAATGAAAACATACCTGAATAATGTCCAATGTTGGTATTTATAGGAGTAGGTAGTTCAGTCCTTATAGGATTGTGTCAATTGGATGTACTTATCCAACGGAGTCCTGCTTGGGAGGAATGTCTTACTCGTAATAGAATTTTATGATGAACGGTAGCATAGTTGACATAGAGTCCTTGGAGAGTAGGACTTCCCGTGAATCCAGAAGATCGAGTATTGACCTTGAATAATGTGATCGAGCACGAACACTTGAGGATTAAGACGAGTGAAGGTTGGGAAACCCCAACCGAAGTCCTCGAGCAAAAGATCCCGTGCTTAGAATACCCAATAGAGATCATAATACCCACAATGAAGGTTTTTTTTTCGAATTTTATTCACGAATCCTCGTCTTCTACACACTATGTAAACATTAAAGCTTACATTTTTTATGAAATGACAATATAGGTAAGACTATGAATATATTCACCATTATAGAACTACTATTAAACAAATTGAAAATAAAGGAGTATATTAGGATTGGGCAAAACTTTCGAATCAAACTCAAATCGAATCGAACGATTCTTCTTAAATTAAAAGAAAATTTACAGCAGAAACTCCAAATCTTTGAAACATTAGCAGACTTCCTCAAACGTTTCATTTGTTGCAGCCGTCACCCCTAACATTTTCAAACATTTGCATGCGAGGCTCTTTTTGATGGTTTTCATCAAAAATTTCGTCAGTTGACCATCAAAATAAACTTTGATCATCTTTTAATCAATTTTAAAAGGGTATAATGATAAATTTCTATTTATTACCTTAAACAATTAAAAAAACTTAAATCAAAAAAATAAAAATAAACAAATAAAATTGGATCTTCTTCCCCACCCACCCCGCATGCTCCCCTCAATCCAAAACTCAACAAGATCAATCGCAAAATGAAGAAGGAAGTAGTAAGAAATTGTCCAAAAAGGAGGCTACAAAACTTGAACACTTGCGCAAACGCCAAGAAGCAGCAGCGGCTGCAGCAGCTACCAATATTTCTTCCACGATAATTGACGCTGTAGATCCATTGGCCAAAAATTACAGTGAAACCCAATTAGATGATTTGAAGTCGAAGGAAATTTCGGGTCGAAAGTGGATGAGTTGAATGAAGGGTTGAAGGACGATCCGAGGCTCGTGTCAGGCAATTCGAGCCATAGGTAAAAAGATGGTGTTTGTTGTGGTGAGAGAATGGGGGTTTACGGTCCAGTGCATTTTGACTGTGACACTCGATGTTGCCAATGCCCAGATGGTAAAATTTAGGGATGGCAATCAGGCTCGCCAACTCGAGCCGCCCGTGACTCGGCTCGGGGCTCGATAGACCCAAGCCTAGGCTCGGGTCGAGCTCCATTTTGGGGGCATGGGCTTTGCCCGAGCCGGCCTGTGAGCTCGCGAGCTTTTTAAAAAAAAATTAATTAATTGAGGCTGCCTTAAAAGGCAGCAGCTCGCTGTCTTTAAGACAGTAGTTTAGGGAAGAGGAAAAAAAAAAGAAGGAAGAAAACAAGTCTTCCCGGCTCGGCCCGGAAAAAAGCCCGAACAAAAGCTCGGGTCGAGCCGGAGCCGAAACTTTAGCCTCGCGAGTCGGCTCGACCCGGCTCGTTTACATCCCTAGTAAAATTTGCCACCAGTTTGAGAAGAGAGAGAGGGAGATCAGATAAGATTCTTTCAATACGCTGTTGCTTGAGACTGTTGGTTTCAGTCAGAGAGGAGGTGGCGGGAGATAACGATGACGGTGAATTTATTATTGCTGGTTTTGGATTTAGGGGGTGGGGTGGAATGGAATGGAGTGGAGTGGGTGGGTGGAGAAGAAGATCTTTTTTTTTTTAGTTTTTTTAATTGTTTAATATGGTAAATAGAAAGTTACCATTTTATCCTTTTAAAATTGATTAAAAGATTTTGATGGTCAACTGACGGAATTTTTTACGGAAACCATTCAAAGGGGACTCACATACAACGTTTAGAAAGATTAGGGGTGAGGTTGCAACAAATGAAAAGGTTTGGGAAAAGTCTATTAATGTTTCAAAGGTTTGAGACTTTTACTGCAATTTTCCCTAAATTAAATACCTAATGAGTATCTGAATCGCGTTGGTTCTCGATTCAATATCAAGAACTGAAAAATCGAATAAGAACAGAATATTCTTAATTTTTTAATTTATTTATTTTAAATAAGCTAAATTATTTTATTTTTTTAAATAAATTTGTTAACTAGTTAATTTAACTCAAATTTAAAAATATGATTTTCCTATTTCTAATTTGAACCCTGCTACACTTACAAGGATCTGTTTTACAAACCCCTGCCAGATACTCACAATGCGGGCTTCGACTTTTTTTTTTAATACATGTGGGACCAACCCCTACAGTGAGAGGTCGGTAAGGATTTTGTAGGAAATTGCTTTGCCTTCTAATTTTTAGTTTAAGCTCAACTTAATCAAATTCACATAAGTTTTATCAAAATCCGTTGTTCTACCATAGTGCCGTTCCTACCATTCCGGAGAAATTGAATTGAAACTCGAAAGTGTCTCTCTTAATTATTGTGAGATTGCTATATTATTCTTCCTGTGATTTTAACGATCAAAACTACGAAGAACGCGGCAAAGAAGGACGCAAAAAACAAATAAGATTGGATTACTTTATTTTGTAAAAGTTAAGATTAAATATGTCATTAATAAAATTAATGTAATTTTTTAAATATTAAAAAAAGTTTATAATATAAAACCGGATAACCGAATGAAATCGAATAAAATCGAACCTAAACTGTTCCATAATTAAATTTGGAGGCGAGGATACTTGCTGAATGAAAATTGTTATTTGTATACTGATTTTTTGATACTTTGATTGACACTTGTATTATTGTCAAGTGTCAATTGTGAAAAAACTATTTGAAATTTAAATCGTTGAATAATAAATTTGTAGTGTACATGTACCAACGTTCCTTGCCGAATGCTCGAAAATTTGTTCCCTTTTCCCTGGAGCACACAAAAGAAAACTGTATTGAAGGTGTGCGGTGTGTTGGAAATGGTGGGTCAATTGGGTCAACTTTGACCACAATTTTAAGTGGGACCCGATGTTCGATGTATCGAAATTAATGTTCAATTAAATTCTACATTCCGAGTAGGTGAGTGTAGAATATTTAATTGTGAAAAATCACTTCAATATAAATGAGAAATTATGGTTGAAAGTTGGACAATAAATAAGAGGAATAAATGGGAAAGAATTGGAAAAATGTTCCAATCCCACATAGGTTGCAAACACAACCTTGAACCACTTAATAAATTTCAAGTTTGGATATGAGTTTGGGCCCCAAGGGGTACCAATAGTCTTTGAAAGGGGGGAGTTTTAGACAATGTCTAGACTAATTCAAAGGCCACATGCGGGCGCGCCGCCGTCCGACCAACCTGTCGGGTCGGGTCGTGGATGTGGATGTGGGCCTGGGTTAATATTAATTTAAATTTTTTTTTGGTTTTTTTTTTAAAATTCAATTAATTCCCTCCCTTTGATAGTTTATTAACCAACCCATCAGTTTGCTAAAACTGTGCGTTAAGTGGACGTGAGTGGTGGATGGAAACTGCTCAACCGTCAACTCTCTCCTCTATTTGAATAGTCCTCAGGTTTTCAATTTTAAAACACACACAGAAACATCACGAAATCATTTTGCATACATACTCTTCTTCTTTGCAATAGTCAACAGAAAGTACTTCCGTTCTGGTTCGTTGTCTTGCAATCGAAGTGCTGTTTCTGCAAGTTTTTGATCTTTGTATCTTGGGAGACGCTTTACCACATACTGTAAGCACCGTATTACGGGCTACAAACGTCTTAAGGACAGAGAGCCTAGTTCTCGCCGCGATCATCCTCATTCTGAATTCTGGACTTTTTTATGCTTCTGTTTTATTCTGTGCAATTCATTTTCTGGAAATGATATTCTGTTTTTACTGTTTTGCAATTGTTCATCTGGTTTAGCAAGTCATTTATGGAAAATCTGTTCTGTACAACAAATTCGAAAACATCAATCAACAATCTTAAGACGTTTTTTATAAATTATTTTCCAAAATTGCACTTGCTTATTTCTAAACTTTGCAGACTCTTATGCGAAATTACTATTCTGCAGAATTTTAATTTGTA